GATAAATACGACGATTGATATTACTGCTAATCATTTTGGTTATTTTGAATTTCGATTATGTCCACTTGATATGGGACATTCTCGTCGACCACGTCGTTTAACTCAACAATGTCTAGATCAATATCTTTTAAAAATTGGTCCAAGTGATTCGAAATCAAATGGAGATGATACCCGATATTATTTACCTCACGGAAATAAATCATATTTTTATGTACCTGTTGAATTACCTGTAGAAATAAATTCATGTGAACATTGTGTTCTTCAATGGAAATATCATGCTGGAAATACATGGGGAAAAGATCAACAAGGAAGAAAATGTTTAGGTTGTGCTGATCAACAAGAAGAATTCTATAATTGTGCTGATATTGCAATTGTTGAACGATCACCAAATGAATTGATTACACCGATTTATAATGATAATAGCACCACAACGAGAAATAGGGGTAATATTCAATATTTTTCTCTACGACTTTTTTTTCTATTTGTTTACTTATTCTATTAATGTTATTTTTGTTGTCTTTTAAATTTGTAAATTATGATGAAATGTGTTTAAATGCAATCGTGGACGAAACATTTTCGAAATTTTATTGACTGTTGTTTGTTTTTTTTAAACTAATTTAAATAAAATAATCTTATTAATATTTAAACATAGTATTGAATTTCACGCATTTAAATAATTACAATGATGATTAGATCTTTTTAAATTTTTTTATTATTTCGATTAAACAGATGGATGATAAATGTGATCGATTTATTTGAGAATCAATGATATGCACTCGCTTGACTTTTTATTATTTCCTTGATCGGGCATCAGTAAGTTCTTTGTACATTGATATCTGTGAAATATAAAAACATGTTTTATTCTTGATGCTTTACATTATGTATTTTCTTTCGCTAAGTTACAATGATGAACGCGATTGTCAATAGTTGCTGCCAAGATGCGTCGATCCTTTTCAATTCTGATCAACATGGGTATAAATGTATCAGTATCCAATGTGGAAACTTGGTTTAATCCTAGTCTTTATGACACATGTATCTGTATTTTCCCAAAAAATATGTTAAGATTATCTTTTCACATATGTATATATATATATCTTTTTTCTTGTAAAGTCTCTTTATTGCCCTCTGACCACTTGCAGTCCTAAAGAGACGTTATGTTAGTTACATAGATTCGTAGCAGTAAAAAGACAGATCGATATAATAAAAAAAACATAGAAAAAAGAGAAAAATTAGAACAAGAACGACGAGCAAAAATAGATCAGACGATTTCTGAGAACTCTGCAACGCATCAGAAATCTCTTTCATCGAGCATTACTGTTGAATTTGTCATGCAATAAGATAACATCCACGTTACGGCTATACTAAACATATTGGTGTGTGGAACAAAGCCCTTTGATCTGTGCAGATAACAAATTCGCGTTCTACCTTCCTGCTATAGAGACCTGTAAGTGCTCAGAGACGTTTGTTCTAATAGGAGATAACCATCGAGAGTGATTTTGCTAATACTTTACAGTATTTTTCCTAGTAGGCGTAACACACATCTTTGAGTGACCGTTCCTCATAGACAGAAGCGAAGACGAAATCTTCCCAGCAAAGAAACTAATATGCACGTTTGAGCGAAGTGTAGTCTTAATCATTGGCTAATGGTGAACATCCGGTAATCTTTTCACATATATTAATCAATGTTGTTTTAATGAAAATATAATATTGTTCTATTAAACTGAAGAGTTAATAGACAAAAAAAAAGTCTATTGCAGTTTTTTATATTCTATGAATGTTGATTATGTTTTTATGAAAATGTAAGAAGAGTTCAGTTTTTCATTATATCAACTCATTTTCAATATAAAATACAATAACAGTGCGCAAAGAAAATTTTTCAGATTATCATCTTATGTTCATAACTGTCTGCGATAGAAATGGATTGTTTAAATCGACTCTCAATGACTAACCATGCCGTTAAAATGACTTCTTTTTTTTTTAGAGAATACTTCATATAAAAGATAATTTGTTTACAATTATAAGACTCGGTATTAAGTTAAATACCCTTAGTATATTTTTCTTGTCGTATAGATTGATTAATAGACAAAAACAAAAATAAACGACTTATTATTTATGAGAATATATACGTGTATGGTGTCTTATGTGATGTTCGATTAGAGAAATGAGTAATTGATTTTGATAGTCAAGCAGTAATATTGTTCGACTAGATAAGACGATGAAAAATTGAAAGTAATTTTTATTAATATGTGAAATATAAATTATGTTTTTTTTTCTTCATATGTGATATAACAACTGATTTGAATCTATCAGAATAATGAGTAATGCTAGTTAAATAAAGTCACAGTTGACTAAAACATTTAATTGCTTCTAGACAGCAAAATAGATATTGAACTACGACGAGAATTTTCAAATAAAATATTTATAATAAATTACATTAATAGAACGAAGAAAGATTATTAAATAGTTAAACGATAGAATGTCTTAATGAACAATCTGGCACAGACTATTAAGCGAATAGCTATTCTCATACATCAAACATTCATATCGATCAGTGACGATATACTTTTGACATGACGACATTTGTTCTTGCAGTTAAGGTCAATTATTCTTCATGTATCATAATAATTATCAAGACTTCCATATTTGCTAGATAGATTATCATCATTTTGAGAAGAATCTTGTGCCATAGTAGCATTTTATACAACATATCAATAAGAAGAGTACATTATAGTAGTAATAATATTATCTAAGGTAAAGTTAAAAATTTAGATTGCTTTTTTATCTAATTTTATTTTAATAATTTTCATATACTAATTACTTGAACTGGAAAATAGTTATTGATATCGTCTAAGATTATGCTGTAATCCATGACATAAAAACTTTTCTTCAAAAAATAATTCAGTTTCTAGATAGAATTAATAAAGAATGCTTGGATTTTATTATCAAAGATACTCTTGGAATTCAATGAGATATACTATTTTTGCTCTATTTCGTTATCCATTGACTTGAAGGAATCAGAAAAAAAGAAAAGATAATATTTATATTACGTATCCGATTTACTATTTTCATTATCTGAATTGATTAGTGATCATAATCGTAAACTCTTGATCCCTTTGCTAGTTATACATTTCTTTCTACTTAAAGGCACAAAAACATACGCTCTATCCAGCTCAGATTACATGATCAACAGTGACCTGCTATGTTCTAATTATTATCGAGAAAAAAATATTTTGCATTTTTCTTTCTTTCATTCAGTCGATTTATTATAAAATAATCATCAGTAAATGCTATCTATCGATGAAGTTGCTTTCTTTTGTACTATCTTATTGATTATATTCTAATAAAACATATAAAAAACAATATATCATTTTTTTAAAAGTATGTAAGCATTAATAATTAATTTTTATAGATATTATTATATTCATCTATCATTTGATACACAATGCCGACATATGGAATGGACATCGCTCTTCAAAGAAAGGTAATTCAATGTATGCATTTCACTTATAGTTAACGAATATCTAGATGAAAATTTTTTATTGATGGATTTATAATAAATATCAAACCAACCAACGAAATTAGTTATACGCAAGATACGATAATAAAACCACTACTATCAGTTACTTAAGCAAAATATTCTATATTTATGCTATTACTATCTATTATATGACTTTCAAAACACTCCGTTAATGTATGACATTAGGATAGTTTACGGTGATTAATATTATCATCAAGTGTATATACATTATACACATGCCTGATGTAGAACAAGTCATACTTCCTTAAAATATAGATAACATCAATTAATGGCTGTTTGTTTCTATCAGACATGTTTACACTTGAAAAGCAGAATAGTAAAGATGATTTCCAAGCATGCAACCAGAAACAAACGAATAGACTCTGCTCTACTTAAATTAGTTCATATCATGTTGACTAAGTTCATTGACCTTTGTACTTTAAAAAAGAGATTATTTTCTTTATGTTTGTACTAACGAAGGAACATTTCCAAGTGATCCACTCCGTTTGCCTTCATATTTTGCCAATATGTATGAGATTACTAAAGTAGCGCAATCATCAAATGTTTTGTGCTCATGCTTAGATTTGATCAAGATAACGACTTTTTTGGTAGGTTCTTTCTGCTGAAGTTCAGTTTTCGAAAAAATTTACATTTGAAAATTTTCACCTGAAACTTTGTATACATAAAGGCCTCTATCAGACTATTTTGTGTGTAAATTTTCATCGATTTTCAATATCACATTGCCAAGATATATATATTTGTCGATATATATATTCCTATATTACATAGCGCTTAAAGAAAAGCATAGATATATCAAAAAATCTATATGTTAGCAATGCGATATCCAAAACTGATGACACTTTGTACATGAGATAATCTAATAGAGACCTTCATGTGTACAAAATGTCAGGCCAAAGTTCCAACATATAATTTTTTTCGAACACTGAACTTCTGCAAGAAAGATCTACTAAAAATTGACTATATCGACCAAATCTAAACATGAACAGAAAAACCTTTGAAAGTTACACTACTCCAGTGATCTCCTATATACTAGCAAAACAGGAGGACCAATGAAGTGGATCACTTTAGAATGTTCTTTCGTAAGAAAAAATTTCTTTTTATGTTCTCTTTACTGTTCTCTCTCGTTCTCATCTATAAAACAATATTTTTCAGCAGAATCTTATCTTTCAAAAAAGCCGATATCGTCGTCATCATTTATCTTTCTTGGTATAGCATCTGTTGTATGTTTACAACGATATCTTCGGAAGAACAGCTTAACTATACAGCATTTGTCGATATTTTTCTTTCTAATTATTTGAAAACGCCCTCTCCTATAGACTTAAAATAATATGTATATAAACACTGGGTTATCTATCTGTTATCTTCCACTTTTCTTCGGTCGAAATCTACTGTCATTCTATCTATCTTAAGTGTACGAGTATGGCTCAACTTGGACCTTCATATGGATCCCTGCTTGCTAGTCAAAGAAAGGTGAAATAGTTATTTAAATTTTATTTCTTCAAGCTTCATTTTAGTATTTAACAAAACTAAATAACAAGACACTGAGTATTAGAAGATATAGAACTTCTTTGTAAAAATACTGATCCTAGTTTTTTTTAATGTTCTTTTTATCTATACATTAAACATACATGTGCGAAGGATTTTCTCATCTACTGAATAGTAATAACTGTACGTGTTCTTCATGTAAATAAAACAGGATAGTAATGAGTTGTCATTGAGTACACTTATTAACCATATTTTAAAATCTATATCTTATGATTCGAGTTATCGGGAAATGGTCTAATGACATCATATTTCCTTCATTGCATTTGACAACGAGAATTAACACAGAAAGTCTTTCAGAATATAAAACAATAGGTTTCTTTTTAACACATCGATCATGAACGATCAATTATTTCTTCTTTTCTTTATATTTTCTCTTATATCAAGTTCTTCGAACACATATAAATATATTGAATGTTTAGATCGCCGCAAAACGTGATCCAAATCTTGATCGAGAAGTGCAAGAATGGATTGAAGCTATAATTGGAGAGAAATTTCCAGATATTCCTTATGAAGACGCAATCAAGGATGGTGTCATTCTGTGCAAGTAATATTTTAATTTTCTTGTATCTTTTTAATTCGATTAATTGTATTTCATTGTCTATGAAAATACAATAGATTAATGAATAAACTTCAACCAAATGCTATTCCGAAATATGCAACATCGGGTGGATCATTTAAACTTCGTGAAAATATTTCACTTTTTCGTAAGTAATAAATTATTCATTTATTATGAAAAAAATGTTTATAACAAAATCATAATAGAAAATGCTGCTCGTGACTATGGTATAGCGGAAGCTGAACTTTTTCAATCTATTGATCTTTTTGAGAAACGCAATATTCCACAAGTAACTCGGTGTTTATTTGCAGTTGCTCGAGAAGTAAATTATCGATCTCTTGAAGTATTTATATATGTTCTATCAATTTCTTTTTTAGGCACGTAAACATAAATTCAATGGTCCACTGCTAGCCTCTACAATGTCTCAAGCCAATACACGTGAATCCGTTGGGGGAAAATAAAATGCTACGAATTAATCAGATCAAAACTTTGCTCTAACACATCACATGTGAATTATTACGAATATATTTAAAATTGAAATAATTTTATTAGACTAATAATAACAGTGAAGATAATTTTTTTTTGCGCATAGAAAGTATATTCAACTATCATAGACATGTATTTTTTAAATGCTATTTTCACCTCCATTGATGATTTAATTACCTCATAATAAAGAATGATAATAGATAGTGCTAATAAAAACAATTTTCTTTTCTCAATCTGTATTCTACAGGTGTATCATTGAAGAACAGGAAATAAAATATTTTTGTGTCTGTATAAAAGCAAAATTTATTCATGGAATAATAACTTGTAAATATTTCGATGACATTAAGGATTATTATTGAAAATATAAAATAATTCGAAATAATCTGATGTCTCAATCGAATTCCTAAAATATTTCATTTTACTATCGAAAAAAGTCGTTTTCAAAAAACGTTAATTAAGTAAGATTTATGATCTTGTACTACATAAAAAATATATGATTTGGCTATATTGCATTAATAAAAAAAACATGATACATATTCATTTAAGCTCTCCGTCCTTAAAAATCGATCTTGCATTAAGTACACCCAAATTGCATGAAATTTTCAGAATATGTTGGGACTATAGAGAAGAGGCTATGCTAAAACTTGCAGTTCAATACCATAACATCGTTGTCGGAAGATATTCATCAAACAAGAGTCAAAAACAGCTCATTTGGCAACTTGAAATTTTTTGTGAACTCTCATTCTATATATTTTATTTTTTCTTGTTTGAAAGAGCCTGTCAAACTGCATTTCCTAATAGAGTTATTTTTTTCTATTAAATTTTTACTTTTTATTTAGAAAAAGAATGAAAAGTTCAATACCTCAAAAAAACTCAAACAATGATTATCTGTTCGTACCAGTGCATTTTTATATAATAGTAAAAATGCTTGATTCAAACTAACAGACTTTGTAAGGCATTACACTTTCGAGAATTCTGGAATGCGCGATCAGAAAAGTGTAAACAAAGAAAAAAACCAACGAACATGTCCCAGTTTTTCTGTAAAAAAGCATATCTCTCAAGCAGAAAATGATAGAAATTATTGAAAATTGTTGGAAGAAATCGCTATATCAAATAAAAGTTCATATTGTTTGTGAAACATCTGATCTCAAGCTATCATCCCATGCATTTATTATAGCTCCGATTGATCTGATGGAGATGAACTTTTTAGAGGGACTTAAAATTGAATATTTTTCACAATGTATTAATCTTTTTGTTTTTTCATATAACATCATTATAATGATTCGTTCCGCTATATCAGATACGAGACGAGTATAAAAATTGTATGTAACATTTCTATGCTGAAAAAATGATAGTTATTCTTTTTTTGTACATACAATTGAAATTAAGTAACACCATTACTCTGAGATATAATAGTCATCAAAGAGATAGTCTTATAATTAGACAAGTTAATTTTACTTATACAAAACATTTTCGACCAAATTCCATTAAGATTTAATTTTCTTATACTCAACTGTTGATTTTCCTCAAAAAAAAAAGTTTTTTTTAAAGTGTCATGTGACAAATAAAGTAAACTGTTTCAATGCTATATCATCCATAAAATTCAATAATTTTATAGAAATAGACTAGAGAAGAACAAATCTTAGTCAACTATTTCACGTGAGTCTTTGGATGGTCCATTATGTATTCAATGAATTTGGTGTTAACATCGACATTCGTAATAACACACATTGAGCAACAGTTTTATTGTCAATCATTTTTCTAATATACATAACATCTAATGGCCATCAATTTTACCATCACCCATCAATAAATAATTAGATGATAATGAATGACGGAACTTTTCAACTATTTTCATTACATTAAGTCATCTATGTCAGCTGGTGACCTCAACATTGTCGAACCTTTGCCAGTTTCTATTCATCGTTTTTGCCAACTGTCACTGCTTTACTTTTGCTAGAGAATAATGTTTACTTTACATAAACATTATTGTATTAATTTCTTAAATTATATATTCAATAATTCATTATATTAACCTTCAGTTTTAACGCTCATATTTCAATTTTTTTGAAAATATTAAGAATGATATGTTACATTTAGCGCTGACAAATCTTCTAGGAACCGACACATAGATTTTTTCGCTCAGAGGTACAAGACTCGTAATAGTTTATTGAATATTTCTATGTTCAAATGATGTCTTTGATAAATACAATGATATAAATAGATTATTGATTGAAAAGTGCATAATAATGATTAAAGAATACAACATTAATTCGTTATCCAAATGTTCAAAAATGAATACAAGATATTATTCGATTAGTTATTCAGTTGATGTGTTCAACATTTGGTTAATAAATTATCCCTAACGATATTTATTCAAGAAGAATTGAGATCTCAATAGAGTTAGTAATAACAAATAAAAAGGTTATTACGTACAATATAATACAGTAGCAGTCCTTCATATTCTAGCATATTCTAGATACAAGAAGATATTGTTAGAAAGACAACAACAACATCAACAGCATTCCATGTGACAACACTATTCAAATGTATCGTAGAAAAGATAACAGATGCCCTCAAAAAAACCATATAGAAGAGAACAGTTGCCCACACTATTTATACTTATTATATTATATTGCAGCAATGATGGTAGCTGACGATAATGATAATCAATTATGTAACATGTAATATGATCGAAAAAAGATGCCACCTCTTCCATTGAGATACTTTGGTTTTTCTTTTAAT